CATGCAGAATGAGGCGAGAACAACCGCAAGCGAGTACTGTAAGCTGTTGTTTGCCGGCGTCCGTGCCGGAATGGTAGGTGCAAAAGATTATGCGTGACCCAGATATTCGGAAGGAGTACAGTGCTGCCCGGAGCGCATACACAAGCTATACCCTGTATGTATAATCGACGGATAATGCAGCATCTGTGACATGGCAGGAGCCGTGACACAATTGACCATATTTTGATTAATTTGCGAAGCATTGTGACTATCGCTGCTAGGACTTTGATGATGCTACGGTCGCATATCCAAGGTGGAAGAACCCGACCCCGTAAGTCAACGCGGCCGGTTGGCAGAAGTTGCGGCAGGACCAAGGGCGATATTGCGAACGACTTCAATCGAGACGCGCCAACAGCGATCTATCGGGCCGGTCTGGGGTAAAGGCAAGAAGGTAAGGGCTTCCGGGTGATCCTCAATAGATGACGGTGTCCTCGGCGGCTTCTTCGACAACATCCTCTCCGTTCTCGTCGTCATCTTCCTTCATGGTTGTGTCAGCTACGGTCTCGTGAGTTGCACCGTGGCTATTCTGTATGTCCTCAGTGGCGCGCTCGACTTTTGCATTGGTGTCAGGGGTATCGGGCTGGTGGTCCTTCATGTCCAGGTCCTTGGGGGAGATGGCGCTACCATTAGTCTCGCCATTGGTGGTGGTTGTCTCTTGAGGTGCATGTGCATCATGGTTCTTACCGGTGTCTGCACCCTCTGCATCACCCTTTGTTTCCTCGGATGCACGCCGTCTCCGCATATTATCCGGTTGTTGGCGAGCCTCGTACTCTTCCATCTCGCGTTTGACGGTTTCTTCGGCTTCGGCCATTTGGTCACGTATGCGGTCTTCTTCGTCGGGACTGGTTTCCCAGGGTTTGTAATACTGTGAGCAAGATCAGCTGTGAACCAGGGTCATCAGGTGGACGGCAACGTACGAGGTGTGGCTCTGACTTGGTCTGGAGGAAGTGCGCCATGGCGAGTAGATTTGCGTGACGTGCCCGCATCTATGAATCGTAAGCACCCATCCAGAGCGTCAGGTGTAGACTGTCAAGACATACCATATCCCTCTCGAGAAGCTTGTGTTCCTTCCATCGTTGCTCTTTGCGCCTGGCTGCACGCTCTGTCTTCCTCTGTTCGCTCTCTTGGTCGTCCTGCTTGCGCTGAGCTAGCTGTCGCTTCTCGATCTCGGCGCGACGTTTCTGTCCTGTAGTAGCAGAGTTCTGTGAGAGTGCACCCAAGGCGGCGCCAAATAATCTGCGCTCTCGTCCTCTCTCGCGTCGCACAGGGGCAGGCTTGTCGTCTTTTGTGTCTTTGGTAGTAGATTCACGTCTTTCTTGGATGGCAGTATCATTCTCGAGTCGCGGTCGCTTTGAGGTGTCTTCTGATAGCGATTCTTGTCGTCTCTTGTGGCCGTTCACCGGGGGTGAGGCTGGCAGTGATAGTTCATCCGGAAGGACTACAGCCGATGCAATGGGTCCGTCCATGACAGTATCGCGCGCAGTATATGGGATTTCTGGGTGTTTCTAATATGTGCTTAGCAGTATCAGAGAAGCACGCGTGGGTGTCATTGGTGTAGGTGGCCCAGGGATCTCGCGATGGAAGCTTCGTGCACGGAGCATGGGTTCAGTTCACGCTAGCAGCGGACCACCGAAGCTGACTTTCACGACCGACTTTCTGTCGCACTGTCACGCGCCACCACCATATCAACGCCCCCGTCACGACGAGACACCACGCTCTATTAAACTTGCGATAGCGAACACGTCCATACTCGTCACCCCCTTCGTAACCTTCCGCCATGTCTCGCCATCATCCGTAAGTACCCTCCCACCTCAAAGAGTCGCGCATACTAACACCTGTCGCAGCGATCTCGTCATGTGCCGCAAGCAGTCCGGCATCTCCATCGGCCGCCTCTGCGACAAGTGCGACGGCAAATGCCCCGTATGCGATTCCTACGTGCGCCCGACCACCCTCGCCCGCATCTGCGACGAATGCTCCTTCGGCAACTATCAGAACAAGTGCGTTGTATGCGGTGGCGAAGGCATCTCTGACGCCTTCTACTGCTTCGAGTGTACGCGCCTGGAGAAGGACCGGGATGGATGTCCGAAGATTATAAATCTGGGTAGTAGTAGGACGGATCTGTTCTACCAGAAGAAGAATTTCAGGAATCATTGAGGTGGCTTCAGTTGCTGCTCTGGGCGCCGTCAAGCGCGCCTGCGTTATGGTAGAATCTACAGGAAGATCTGAAGCTCGGCTACATGGAAGAGTGTACACGGGATAACATGGGAAGAAGCATGGAGTTTGGGCGTCGCGGCAGCATTCTCAAGCGCCGCGATGTAGACAAAATTGGGTTATGGCGTTCAAGGATACCTCAACGATCTATCAATGGTACTTTTACCACTTCTCCACCTAGTAGCATTGCTGACAAGTTCGCAAGATCGATTTCTTCTCTGTTTTAAGGCGTAGTAGCCTTGCGTATGTCTTGATCCAGACAGCTTTAGCTACAAAATACAACTTACTCTACGCCTATAACCTGCGCTCCTCATTACCCATTCGCGTCCGTACTCGATAAGCCAACACAGCTGGAAGCCAGCTACCTCGGTGTTTCCACCTCATCGCCGGCGCCTTCCCCTGTTCGGCATGGGTTCAAAAAAAAATGTCATCCTGTCAAAAAGAGCAAAAACATACAACAGCGGGGATTCGCTAGTGGTCACCCACCTAACTACTAATCCGCCGGTACAATGCTTGTATATGGCTGAGCGGACGGGAAGCCTAATTCTCATTGTCCTATGGTCGTATGTGAAGGAATGGGCAGCCAGAAAGATCATATAGTCGTATACGGAAGACTTGCACCTCACACTGAATGGAACCCGCCGGGCTTCTCTTTCATCACGAATCCTCTTGCGGTAGTCCGAGTGAGGGGATAGCCTCAGATGCGCAAGGTCAAACTAACGTCGGCCTCGCTTGGCTAACAACACCGTTCCGAACCCACGCTTGTTGCAATGTGATAGCTGACAGCTTGGTCAATCAGCCTATTGCAGAAGCCTCTATTGCCATGACAGGAGAGATTACACATGTTCTGATATCCCGGCTGCCTAGCCGTCGTGTCAATGCCCAGCCATGCTGAACGACTTTCGAGCAAACTTCGGAAGGAGCGAAACCCGTCACTGCCTTGACAGCGGGTTCCGTTACGCGTAAGGGGCTGGCCCGAGGATAAGCCCTGTAAAGACGTCACCACCTGCAAGGACGCAAGGTACGACAACGGCAGTGCAGCTAAGCTGGAGGTATTCCAGGCCGATAGTTCATGCAAAACCATTTTGCTTTTCCGGAATAATTGAGCGCAGGGCTTTGCTTCGGCTCCGATATCCTGGGTCCGGCGAGAGCGACGTCGAGAACCATCCCGAGGTCCAGAACGTCGGGCTTCATGGTGTTGAAAAATGAGGTCGGCTTAGGTTTGCTATTTCTTGCGCTATACCGTCTGACCATATCACGCAGCGGAAAACGGTAGTGCATAAACTAGAGCGTGCGGGGATGCAACTAGGGGGATGTGTGGCGTAAATGTCTAAGAGGGGAAAGACAGGATGATAGGGAGTGGGCGACGGGCAAGGCTTGGAAACGAGAAGGGTCGGTACGCTATCGACCCGACCCTTCTTTAGTTTCGCCACGCCTGTGACGTTTGTTCTCACTGCTGAGCTACACAACTCACGCATTTTACGGCCGCGAAGCGATGACAAGTGCCTGGGTACCTCGATACACGTCTACTGAACCCATTGAAACACCGCCATTCGATGCGCAGATACATCCATCCACCATCTCAACCGTTCATCACAGTTAGAGACGAAATGTCCGAACCCAAAAAAGCAATCACCAAGCAGTGACCCACAGTTGTTGCCATGAACTCCAGGTCTCGGCCATACCTACCCCGTGGAGCTGTTATGATCTAAGAGAACGTGGAGCCCAAAAAGCAGCAAATCAGAACTTGAAAATAGCCGAGCAGTGTAGTCAGAGGGGTAGAGTCAGCTCTAGAGGGGCGTCTACACTCCCGGACCTTGGTGAACGATGCCACTAAGGGTCTCTTTGGCACTGTATCGTCAGTGGCTCAATACACGCGTTTTAAGCGCGATAACACACGAGCTTAGAGCTAGATGATGTTGATACTACGCTAGTTGCCCCAGCCTCATGTACCTTGGTACCTTTCCCTAAGTCCCTTTTGCTTTTGCCCGGAGCGTACGATCCCCAGTTGTTCCGCGAACATCCAGCCGCAGGCCAGGAAAGTAACAGTACCCACCCTAATCAGGCGTAGAATCAAGATCAAGCGCCGGAGGATATCCAGAAACAGCAAGTGCACGTGATTATAGCAACTGTCACGCCCAAATGTGGGCGTTGCCACAGAAGGTCCTGACAGAAGTGGCTTCAAGTGACAGCGGATTTGCCGCTATGTTTGCGCTGATCGTAGACAGACCTGGATTAGTTCCGTCTCTCATGCAGACTACTGGAGATAGTGAGCTCTTCACGTAGGGGAGTTTGGTATCACAACTCCAGACCGTCACCCTAAAGTTCGCTTCGAACTGTGGCGTACTCTCTTATCATCGAGGACACTATCATCATGCGATGGACGAAATGACATCTTGGAACGAGGCTTGCGCTTGAGACTCACAATGACCTCAACCGCCATTAGTGCCAAGTCTCGTACGTTTTACCGAGGGGCTTCTTGCATCCAGACGAGCTGGAGTGAGTTCAGCTATGCTTGGTGTAGCCTGGGCAGACATGATCTCGATCGGGGGAAGGTACAAGCCATGAGAGCAGATAGAGGGTGCGCTTCACCTGAGCAAGCTGGAGTGTCTATATAAGACCTACCACCCTTCGCCCATAGCCATCATCATCATCAGAACAACTCACAGCATCACAACTACTAAGCACCTTTCTTCTCATCATCCCATCATCTTTTACAACCCAAACCTCCTCTTCATTCCAACACCAAGATGAAGCCTTCCACCATCCTCTCCGTCTTCACTGTGGTAGCCACTGTCTCAGCAGTGCCCACCATGGAACTTGAACCGAGAGCAGCTCCAACATGCCCTGCCGGAAGCTTCAAGCAGATCTGCCTGCCCGGCGGACTGTTCAACATCATCAACACGCTTCTCGGCAACATCCTCGGCACTGTCCAGATTTTCGGTACCCCTTGCGGCGGCACGATCAAGTGCTGCACTACTTCCTCTGGAATCGGCTCCAAGATCAAGGTCAGCGGACTCAAATGTGTCGCTCCTACTACGCCAACCACCCCGACCATTCCACCCGTGGTGTCTGCACTTCCACCTGTCATCCCACCCGTGGTTTCTGCCATCCCGCCTATGGTGTCTGCCATCCCACCAGTCATCTCTGGTGTGGTTTCCGCTATTCCACCAGTGGTCTCCGCTGTCGTCCCACCCGTGGTTTCTATCGTAGCACCCGTGGTTTCCGGTGTGGCTTCCGTCGTGGCGCCTGTGGTTTCAGTCGTAGCGCCTGTGGTTTCCGGCGTGGCCTCTGTCGTTCTACCAGTGGCAACACCCATCCTTGAACCAGTAGTCTCCGCCGTAGTACCAGTGGCGACACCCATCCTCTCCGTCGTAGTACCAGTCGCGACACCCATCCTAAACCCAGTACTCTCTGCGGTCGTGCCAGCGGCAACACCCATCCTAAACCCCGTCGTCTCCGTCGCTGCACCAGTCGCAACCCCCATCCTTGGACCAGTACTTTCCATCGCTGCACCGGTAGTAACACCCATCGTTCAACTTCCGGGCATTGGACTCTAGTTTCGATATTGCAAGCAGATGTTAAGCTGTAGGATGCGACGTTTGTACCGCTTTGGATTTCTTACTACACTCATTTCAGGACTATCATGGACTCGGTTCGGGGGGTTTGCTTTCTACAGCGATGACTACACTCCTTTTGTCTCACTCATGTACTTGGAATAGTGATATAGTATGAATAAAAAAGCGATTAGCGATCAAACAAACCCTTCAAAGTTTCTGTTCTGGTGCAAAAAGAATCGAAGCTTCGTTGAGAAAGCACACGCAGCTGCAATCCATTGCCCAGTCAACTCACTCAACCACACTCCCAAATCCCTCCTTCTCCCTCATACCCCTCCCCTTCGCCTCGATCTTATCATTCTTGACCATACCACCCACCTTCTCCACTACCTTCCCCAAGAGAGAATCTGGCTCTGGCCCGCTCATCTCCCCCGTCTTATTGCCGTACCCTGCGCCGCCTGTAGATCCGCTGCCCATGGCTGTCCCATTGGAATAAGGCGCTGTGTCGGAGTGGCTGCCAAAACGAAATTCAGAGGTGTCGGTGTCGGGAGTGGACGAGGAGCGTTTGTTTCCTGGGTAGGTGTTAGGAACGTTAGGCGTGTGCGTGGGAGAGCGTTTGCATAGGGAGGGCGATGAGAAGAGGGAAGGGGGAGGGTGGAATTACCGAATCCTGCGCCACCTGTTATACCTGAGCCGTGCTTTTCGTGGGGGTTATGGTATGGGGTGTGAGAGTCTACGAGACCGAGACGTGTGGTGCTGTGTTGGTCTTGCAGGTCTTCTGCGGTGTAGTCTGGGGCTGTGCGGTTTCCATAGCCTGCCATGTTTGCTTGTGATTATGTGACAACTTTGAGTGTTTGGGTGTATGTTCAGGTTGATATCACTCGATATCGGAAAGTATGGACGGTAGGTAGTAGGTAGTGTTATGTTACCACGAATACGCGGAGATCCATCGTGGACTATATATCGTTCATGCACCCTTCCTTTACTATCTGCCGTGTGCTAGCCCGAGCATAACTGGCATGTGTTAAGGAGTCCAAAAGCCTTATGAGGTCACCTTGCTGGGGGAGGCGTAGATCATGCGATCAGAAGCTCTATAAGAGGGTGGAAGACCCGGCCAAGGTGTGCTTGGTATTCCTTGTAGTACGCTAAGTTCCGCTTATGTGGGTCGGAGGAGATAGTGGCTAAACTGAATCCTACGTGAGCTGTCGATGCTATGCAAGTTTGCGATACCGGGGCCGCTTTTGATTGATCCTTGGATACTTTTGGATCGAACGAGCCGCTGGCCTCAACTTCACGATGGTTCCTTTTTCACGCCTTGAATGCGTGGTCGGGACTTGTAGGTCGGCACTCATTGGATCGATTTGTTGTAAAGATTGAGGCCAGAGATAAAGCTGACATCCCGAAATGGTGGTCGTCGCCGCTGATCCATGATAGCGATAAGAGTCCCGCTAGGTGCTGTTCCGTCACTGGCTACTCCGTGTCTGCCAAGATCTGGGGTATCCCACACTCCCTAAAGCCCATCTGAAAGATCCAGAACCTGTGCGCCAAGGTGTCTAACGGCAGAAGTGCAATGCACGATAATCGAGAATCGGAAAGGACGAATAGCTGAAGGTGATGACCTCATCGGATATATTTGGACTGTCGCGTGGTGTTAGAAGTATACTGGAGGGTCAATCAAGGGACACATACCATGAATTTCTTGTGGAAGTCGGATCGCAGCATGTCGTTGATGAATTCCTTCTTTTTGTTCCTGTCTTCGGTACCTCGTGCTTGGTTCTTGAACACGACATCGTCGTCCCATCGTCGCTTCATGGTGAAGTCTTTCGCGTTGAGCAAGGGGTTGCCTCGGGCGACATCGATTTCGCGTTGTTGCTCCTCTTCTGCGGCGCGTTCTGCCTCCTCTTTGGCTTTGGCTGCGGCGCGCTCCTTCTTGATCTTCTCTAGCTCGCGCATGAGGGCCGCGGTTTCATCCTCTTCGTCTTCGTCGCTGGGACATCATTAGTCAACGGGTTGGGTGATAACACATCTTCGCACTTACTCGTCGTCGCTGCTCTCGCTCTCACTACTGCTATCGTCGGCGTCCACGTCTCTGAACTTTTCCAAGACTTCTATGCGCCGCCGTTTTTGAGCTGCTTCATCCTCTTCCCCCTCTTCGGCTGCCGGTACAGCATCGATCTGACGCTTGTGCGCATTGCCAGCCTCAGCTGCTGCCTCCGGCTCGACGTAGGTGCCATTCTTCTTCGCGATGTGACGCGCCTCGGCCTCCAGGAGTTCGGCGCGAAGATCGCGCTGTATGTCGGCATCGCCGCCCTGTCCCGGCTGTCTATGCTTGAGTGTTGTGTGCGCTGGGAGTAGTCGCTGGTGGTAGGCGGGTCCTCGCTGAGCTTCTTTGCCGCGCGCGGGATCGAAGGTGGGTCTGTGGGCGGTCGTCATCGTGTCTTTATATTATTTTTCAATGGTACGATGGGCTGGTACGAGTTTCGGAAGTCTTGCGCGTGGTTGACGTGGTGAGTGGTGATGTGTAGAAGAAATGGTGCACAGAAGCTTGAACTCGTAAATCGCGCTAGAGCACCGGCGATTCCAATTCCCCGCCGCCGCATTTTCTATGGCCGTTACAACAACTACCATTTCACCAACAACCTCACGCATTTGCTGCAGAAGGTCAAGATGCCTCGAGAAGCTGAGATATCGCTAAATGAGCGCGAGTTCATCAAGCAAGCGCTGCAGGAACAGATACGAATCGACCGACGCGCATTCGACGCCTTCCGCCCACTCGAGCTCACATTTGGAGAAGAATATGGCGTCGCAGATGTTCAGTTAGGCAAGACAAGGTACATGATTTACTGGGAGGCCATATGCGCAAGCTAACACTTCTCAGAGTCATTGCGCGCATATCAGTAGACGTGACGACACCATTACCAGAGCGCAAGTTTGATGGTATCTTTCAAATAGTCACAGAGTTCTCTCCAATGGCTTCTCCAGCCTTTGAGGTTGGTCGGTATGTTCTTCTTAAGGCCTACTAGCAGTTCGGCATATCTGACTGAAAAATTAGTCCTACAGATGCCGAAGTCATCCTCTCGCGCATCCTCGAGAAAGCCATCCGTCGCTCCAACGCTCTTGACACCGAATCGCTCTGCATCATCGCTGGCTTAAAGTGCTTTGCTCTCCGCGCTGACGTACATATCATCGACCATGACGGCGGGCTGATCGATGCATCGTGCATAGCCGTCATGGCTGCGTTACAACACTTCCGAAGACCAGACGTACAAGTAGAAGGCGAGAAGGCGACCATTCTCAGTGTGCGCGAGCGCGAACCCATACCGTTGTCGATCCTACACCAGCCGCTCTGTGTTACGTTTTCATACTTTGAGGGAGAGATATTTTTGGTTGATGCAAACTTGGCTGAAGAGCAAGTCAGGCAGGGAGAAGTCATTCTCACAATGAACAAGCACGGCGAACTGTGTCAGATTGCAAAGTACGGAGGAGCGACAATAAACCCGCTGGCTCTGCTGAATTGCACGAATGTTGCTCTGCAGAAGGTCAAGGAGATGAACGCGTTCATCCAGAAAAGGCTTGACGAAGACGCCAAAGAAAGGGATGCTGGAGGATTGATGGCAGAGCTTAGCGCTGAGAATGCTAGGTGAGACCTCGCACGAGGCAGAATCACCTTACACAAGACGACACGTCTGGCCAGCAAGCCAGTCTGCCATGCTTCCAAATACTCGCATCTTGGGCGCCGCTCAAGTTCGTCCGAGCATTCCATCCAAAAGGAAAGTTTCTAGAACAGGACGCGACGCGAGCCCACTGATGATGTGGGTCGGTGGTCGGCGGCCCCTAGAAACGCTACTGGGAACACCGAAGACCAAATCGCGAGATGCGAATTTAGAAGTAGCATGCGAATGTGGCTATGGATCGAGAGTTCATGTTGGATGATGATCTATGTGCAGCCGTGTAAATCAACTCATTATGAACTCTACTTATTTACTTGCATCTCGATCTGCAATCGCGAAGTATGCTCCCATCTAAACCCAAGGTTCTAGATTTTGGAGTTCACAAAGCGGTGACGTAGCTGACAAAGCCCGACGCGTCGCGGGACACCTCGGCTCACGCTCCCTGCAATTCCACGCGACACACCAACACCTCACTCGAATGACATTTCTCCACACGCTCATTACGAGCGGACAAATTGTTATCCTTCGAGCGGACCGAGAAATCTGCAGTGGTATATAGCTAAGATCCCGCATCATGGCTGCTACATTGCAGTTTCAAAGTCGCTTCACTCCAATCTTGAACATTGCGTCATCAAGGGTCTCGCCGCATTACGTCTTCTATCCTAGATACCAAGCATCCGGCGCATCCTCACAACATCTCTTCTCTCCACACTGAGTTTCTTCACCCGGATTTTTTACAGTCCACAAAGGCCAGCATGTCGTCGAAACTCGTACCCTCCGACCCCGCTAGTGTTATGGTGATTCGCGACGTTGTTCCGCGCGTAATCACCACTCTGTCAGTGCCCTTCTGGAGATTCGGTCGCGTGAAGATTGGCGGAAGAGGAACGATTGGTATGCTGTGCCCAACGAACACTTCACATGCAACTGCTAACGCGCAAGAACAGTGCGCCTCGAATCCGGTTCCCTCGCCGTCTTCTCTCCTGTCGCATTGACCGAGGATGTCAAGCAGAAAGTATCTGAGATGGGCGAAGTAAAATACATCGCCGCCCTAGACGCAGAAGTACGTATCAGCCCACAAGAACACCTGCGACCGTTATTAACATTATACGTAACAGCACCACATCTTCCTCGGCCCCTGGCACAAAGAATACCCCAACGCGCAAGTCATGGGCCCCGACGTCCTCCCCGAAAAGCGCGCAAAGCAAAACGACGAAAACGTCCCCTTCTCGATCCTCTTCAGCGCCGACAAACGCGTCGAGACCATCTCCCCCGAATTCGACGCGGAGTTCGATTGGGAATACGTCCCCTCGCACGTCAACAAGGAGCTCGTCTTCCATCACCGCCCTACCCGCACTCTCATACAGGCTGATCTCATGTTCAATCTGCCTGCTACAGAGCAGTTCAGTAAAACAGGGGTTGACCCGAATAGCGGCATCTTGACGAAGATCTTTGTGGCGCTGCAGAGTACAAAGGGTGATGCGAAGTGGCAGCAGAGGACTATTTGGTATGGAACTAGTGCGAGTGATAGGAAGGGCTTCTCGGCTAGTATGGAGAGGATCAATAAGTGGGGGTTCAACAGGATCATCCCTTGCCATGGAGACGTCATGGAGGGAGATGGTAAGGGTATCTTTGAGAAGGTCATGAGATGGCATTTGGACGCTGCCGCGCAGGGCAAGAAGAGTACCTGAGTGTGTTGACAGAGATGATGGGGCGTTAGGGGTAGTGCAAAAGCGAGGTGTGTACATTGAAGAAAAGCGCGGAGTTGAGGTGGGTGGGCGATGATACCAGTGGATGAGGGGTTGCTCTTTCTTCATATGTACTAACAACATAATTACATCCTTTATCCTTGCCAGCAAGAATACGTCATGAATGATCGTATCGTCTACTTCCTACCCACCCAATCCGCCATCTCAATATCGTCAGCGAAGTTCTGCTTCCTGACGTCTCTTCCGTCGTAGCCACCCTTTATCTTCTCCTTCTGACCTGTCCAGATCGACGCAATGCCAGCTAAAGTGTAAGGATTCTTATCAAACCTTGCCGCCGGTGCCGGAGGCTGGACCACTACAGGTGGCGTTTGCTGGACCGTATCTTGATACCCACCCGCCGCGTCTCCGGGCTGCTCGAAGAGGATGTCCTCACTATACCCCGGATACCCATACGGCGAAGCCTCTGGCTCCCGCTGTTCGTGCGGATGATGAAGCAGATGTGGGTGCGGTAAATGTAGCTGCGGAACATGGGGGTGCATAACATGATCCACAACCCCCATAACCGTCTCCTTCACCCCATGCGCCTCCCCGTTCTTTCCTTCTCCCTCCCTCGCCTTATTCGGATCTTCGTAACCCCTACCCCCCTTCTTTCTCGCCATACCCTTATTAAACTTCCCGTACCTCGCCGCTTTAGCCATATAGTACGCGATGCCCAGGCCTACGCCTAACAGGCCCACGACGGGCGCACATGTCATAAGTAGCCAGGCTACATGTAGCAGCAAGTCATTCAGCCAGAGCTTCTTCTTCGAGGTCTTGTAGTCTGTGTCCGAGAGGTGTGTAACGAACCAGGGGATGTGGTACACGAGCGATTTCTCGAGGAGGGCGAGTGTGAGCGTGGTTTGTACCGTGAGCAGGGAGAGGCATGCTACGCGGGACCAGTGGGCTACGAGGGGTTTGTTGATGTCGAGGTCCTTGAAGGCTGTCCAGCGTTCTGTGTAGGGTGCGAGGGCGCGCTCGTGGAGGTCTGGAGGTGGGGGTGGTCTCGGTTCTTCTTCTTCCTCGTCCGCTGGCAGGCCTTGCAGCCTTTCTCTCTCTTGGTCTGCGTTCTTTTCCTGTGGCTTTTCGTTCTTGATAAAGTAGAGGAGGCTTATTGGGGCACGCCATAGGATGAAGAAGGGAAGGACGATGGCGAAGAGGACTAGGCTGATGAGAATCTGTACGGTGATGGTGATGGCCTTAATCAGCCGGTCAGGCTGCATGGTGGTAGGCGATCGTATTCGGAGGTGGTTGCTAGAGTTCTGCACATAGTGGCGATGTTGCAAAACGTAGGGATATCTGAGCGAGTAGCATAGGCGCGTGAAGGCTACTTGTGATGAAGTTGGAAAGGAATTTCGTGGAAGACAAATGGTGAAGCAGGAGAGCTGTCTTCACGATGCTGTACCATGTGACGTGCCCCATCAATACGTTATTCTATACTCTGGTGGTACATATTCCAGACCTAGCCCTTCAAAGACCTTCCTCTCAGCATCTTCGGGCGTACCCTGGACTCCATCGGGCCCCTCCAGCATCATGGCTTCGCCGTTACTTCGACTTCGGATACCGCTGCTATCGAACTTCCAGCCTTTGATGGCTTTCGCATACCGCCTCAGATCACGCTGAAAGGTGGTACCGCCACTCCAACCCAAGACTGCGCAACCAACTGACCGCCAAGGCGCAATAATGATGTCGACGCGGCGGTGAATAGCAGGGTTCTTCGCTCTTGGGTTCTCTGCAAGATCCTCCTCACGAGTAGGCCACGCTGGATCTTGCCACACAACGAGTGCTTTGTCAAGCGTATCAAAGCCCGCGCCAGCTCCCTTTGCAGATCGAAGAGGCAGTGCATGTTGACCGCGATTAGTGTTCTTCAAGCTCATCGTAAGAGTGTGAGTAATCCACTCAGATTCCTCCAATGACTCGACAATCTCTCGAACCAAGCCCGCTGTACTCTCTAGCTCCGGGTGCGACACGATCAAGTCCACGTCACCAGAGTCTGTCTTGCCACGTCTGTACCCGCCCACAATCGTGACAGTAATGCGTTCGTCGCGAAGCTTCACAGCGTGTTCGCGAACAACAGCGGCGATTTGCTCAACTTCAGGGCGCGGAATAGAGACCAAGAATTCGTCATAGTACTTGACGCCAATTTGCTGCACTCGGTCCAGGTCGTTCCAGCCAAACTCGATGATATCATCCAATTCAGTCCAGTGGTTGTTGTAATAGAATTGGCGTGCGGTCTTGGCTCCAACGCCCCAAATGTTGTAGAAGGAACGCAAGACTTTCATTGATTCGTCGGCCTCGAAATCTTCGACTGCTTGAATCTTGCCAGTGTTCTTCCACTCTACAAAAAGAACTTCAGTTTTCTCGTCACAACCCGGTAGCTGAGCGATCTCTCGGGGGTGACTAAGTCTGTATGGATATGCAGCGATAGAAGCGATGATGGTTGAGTAAGCACGAACACCTATGTCGTCGTCGATCAATGTTCGAGCAGTCCTTATCTTCTTGAGCTGATCGAGGAAGTCCTCATTGGGTCCGTTACCAGGTGTGAAGCGCTGACATGAATACTTGACGCCCTTCTTCACCCAATCCGGTGCTGCAGGGATATCGCTATCCTCGCCTTCGTACTCACTTGTCGTTTGCTGCAGTAACTGTGCAGCTTGTGAAGCATATGAGTGACCAACAGGCTGGGAAGAGCGGGCGAAAGCCTTTCCATCGAAGCGACTAGAAGTGTGGTTCCCGAATCTTTGCGGCTGATAGGTACTTTTCTTGGTAGTCGTCTTCATGTCTAGTTTTGCGCGGTCTAAGATGTCTTGCACTGGATGTGGTCGTGTTGCCAAGAGAGTCTGAGATGCCGGCGCTACTTTAGTGTGCGCGCCGAATATGTCTTTGATAGACTTCCTATTCAATGATTTAGGTCGTTCAATCACTTTACCCGTGTAAACCAAGTTGTCTCCCAATGGAAGTAGATGACCTGCGGCTACACAAGCTTCTACCCAGTCGAACTTGATGACCCAGATTGTATCGTCAGACGGATCCTCGAACAGTAGCGGAGCCTGTGAGCCATTGTCGGATCTCGAAGGGGACGAGAGAGGAACGTGGTCCTCAGTCTCAGGGCCGTTGCCAGCCTCATCCTCAGTGGTAGAGTCTTCCCCGTCCGCAGATAACCGACCTGACGTTTTACCAATCTTTCGCCTCTTGTTGGAGTGATCCTGTGCCTTCACAGGACTAGCCGGCCGTTTAGGGGTGACAATTTCCTGAACAACCAGCTTTCGAGCCCTCAATTCGAACTCGGCCCTTCTCTTTGTACCCACTTTCCCAACAAAGACCTTTGCCCTGGAGACATCGGTAGTAAGCGGTGCGTCGTACTGGCGCAACGTTTCCTTGAGCAGCTTCACTTCCTCGTCCTTCAGATGCGCAGTGAAGATTGCAATTGGCGGGAGTCTGCTGAGGTCGAGGGCCTGTGCGGATATCGTGGATGTTGGTGATAGCGATCCTGGGCGTATTGTCTGGGAAGAGTGTTCATGATCGTCCATATCGGGGTATTTTATGCTGAACCGATTCCTCCAAGCAGGGGTTGTCAAGACGTGTCCAAGAGACGCGTTCTGTGCCTTCGGCTGTCTAGTTGAGATGTCCAGCTGATCATTGTTTGAATAGCCAAGATAAGCGCGATGTTATGTGATGTCTAGGTAACTGTCCAAGTGAGTATACAGTCTTCCCAACGTCGCGCGACAGTGATGACGTCCGCGTGATGTGGAGGCTGGGAGTGTTTGCTCTGTTTGCCTTCGATCGCTCTTGCACGCCTGTGCGTCGAATAGCGCCACGCTAGTGTTAGCGCCCGCGTTTTGACGCGCAATCCATCTGCTACATTCGTTTCATCATGTCCAGCCCAACGTCTTCCAGGCTAAATCTCCGGAATCCTCCAGTTCAACCGCCCGGCGTGCCTGTATCAGACTTGACATCCGCAGACAACTTGGCATGACGGTGGCGTCCCAGGAATCATGCGAGTCGAAACAGCACGCCTAGCCGCAAAGCCGGCGATCGAAACACACTGATCTAGATCTAGAAGTTGGGGAAACATCAGCCGAGTAGTCAAGGCCACAGGCTGGGGGCGCTGATGCACGTCTGGCTCCCCTCAACGGATCTCTGGTTCCTTCCAACTACATCGGGCAGGTCCTTCAGGCGTACTGGGCCCCAGCGTCTCGAAGTTATGCAATGGTTCGATGAATCCGCACCAGCGTGTTCAATGCGGTCACAACTGCGCCAACACCACGGGCTAAAGATTGCGCGAACATCCCCTCCCTGCCGTTGATCGTTTCTCTTGGTGCGCGGACCGCTGTTTCGGAATAATTGACAGGCAGACGTAACCTCTGACAGCCCTTGCACCTACCGGTTGGTGGATATATAGTGAGCTTGTTTGGATAAGCTGCGGGTGATGATGCACTTTGGACGAACCGGTCTTCGTTCGCTACTACCCCGGCCGTTCTTGCAGCGGATATACATGTGGATCGCCACTCATTAACGTGCTTTATCTCTTCTTGTTGCACACTTACTCGGGCCTTCGACATTCTTTTCTTCATTCATTTCGCTACTTTTGACAAGAGCGCTGGTCTCCAAGGGAAGCTAGACTACGCCCATTCAGCTTTGACAGCAACCCATTTCGATCTCACTGAACATCTACACCACCAACCGGACATTCTCTCGTTTACCACACCAAAAATGCGCTCCTTCATTATCATGGCCATCGTGGCCCTGTTCGCTTTCGCGTCTGCCATGCCCATCTCACCTTCGGCGCCCCGCCTCCAAAAGCGAGCTGAACAGTATCGCCTACAAGGACTGAGAGAGGTATGTTGAGCGCGCGCCATCGAATATGAAAAGGACATCGTGACTAACTGTCATAGTTTGAAATCGCCGAACGTCTCTCATCTTCCGCATCATCAGACGTTGACCCATGGCGCACTCGAATGAACCACAAGTTCCATGCTCTTTTTGACCCGACACCAACCGACGAAGAGGGAGCTTCGTATGATGACGACCAAGAGGACTTTTCTGGAGACGTAGCACCGGGATCTGTGGAAGCGCCACAAGTCCTCCCCAAGGCTTCCGAGGAAGACAGTCTCTTCGACCGTCTATGCGCCATGTTCCACCGGGCGGAGAGCAGCTTGGGGTACGAAGGCAAGGAGCTTGATGTGCGTCGACCTGGAGGTGTGAGGGACTGGAAGCGATCTTATGGAGGTTTCCGACGATAGAGTGCAATCTAACTTTTCATCACTTCACCCCATGAAATCCTGAACGAGACAACTGGTATATTTCTAACTGAATCCGCGGTGATCCCAAAGCCTATAGCCCACCTACCCAAATGATGTTCGCGCCCGCTGAGTTAAGTAATAATCCAAAACAATGCCGCCAATCCTCAAGCGCCTGACTAGTTACCCAAAAGACGTGTCGATGATTAGACACCCATGGTGAAATCATGTTCTATACCCGGAGTAACACTGTGGATTGTTAGATGGTGCTTTTCTTTGAAGTATGGAATAAACTCACCTGGCCATGAACTTCAGGAAGACGACAAGATACTGGTCCACGCGGATAGCTACCTCCTCGTCGCCGCCCTCACTGAGAACCTCCCAGTCGTCCTTGCCCTCATCGCCGTCCTTGTTCTTCGCTTGCTCAGTAAGCTTGAGCAGCCGTGTATCATCGACTAGTGCTTCCATGCCGCTGTCGAGCTTGCTGACATCCTTGCCGGCTTTGAGCTTGGCGAGCCGCAGCTTCAGAGCAGCGTCGGCGCGATCAAGGAGAACTTTCATGACAGACGCATGCTTGCAGGGATGTACGGAGGCAGTCTTGAGAGGGTTCTCGAAGAAAGGGAAGTCCTCGATGGTAACTGTCTTGTCCTTGTAGTCTCCGACGATGTCCTCCATCATCTCTTGTGGTTTGAGTGGAACGGAGGTGGAGCCGTAGCCCGAGAGATATAATCGCGGTGTTCGATAGTGGGCGGAGTATGTGATGTAGAGGGTGTATGTGCGGAGGGGTCTATTGGGTGTCAGTCAGTCTGTAGAGTGCTGGCAGCAGGCGGGCCAACTCACGCTTTTGTATTTGAGTCGGCCTTGGGGTCTCTTATGATGGCTTCCTCGTCGTCTTCGATATCCTCCATGTCGGGTATCTCGTCATCCTCCTCTGCCGCGCCTAGGTTGCCGCTCTCGTCGACCGTCCGCACGTCGCGCACCTTGGCCTCCTGGCTTGCGGCCATGCCTCCGGTCCTGAGCCAGCCGTCGTCGTCGGTCGCGCCTTCCCCAGCAGCGAAGCCGTCCCTCACTATGGTCTCATCCTGGCCCGCCTCTCCCGCAAAGTTGTCGTCGAGCCGTCGGTGGCAGGGCACGCCGCGCGTTACTAGGAACTGCTTCCCTTCCGGCAGGTACGACACGCGCTTTGCAGGCGATGACGCGTCGGCCCACTGCCATGAGGGGAACTTGAAGACAAGGAAGTCGCCAGCAAGGACAAACTCCTCGGGCGTGATCTGACCCGTCTCGCGGAAGGTCGATGTGTGGCTGATGGCGGCGGTCCGCTCCCGGAACGTGTCGATGTACGACCTGACAAAGTTGTAGGCCATGTTGGTTGCTCGTGGTTGGTCTGATTTGCGTGCGGAGTTCGAGGCCGTGGTTGAGCGGGTAGCGATGTTGTGTCGTGTATCTGTACGGTACTTGGAGGGGCGCGGGGTGGAGGCTGCCTTGCGCCGCATCGGTCCCGCGCAGCCTCCACCATCATCCCAAGCCGACGCTCCTCACCCCCACTTGTCAGCCGACAACACCCAACATCCATCACCGTCATCCGCCGCCTGCCTTCACAACACTTCATCACGCTTCGATTTCACATGACGATAGCGCACTCAGGGTCCGAGACTGTCACGCACCTGAGCCGTGACACAGTGGTGCAGAGCTGTCTAGCGCTTGAACTATCCATGGATACGCTGCATGTGTAACAAAGACCAGCCCTTGAAGCCTCATCAACTATGACATCAGTCGTTGCAGCATGCTGCTTCCCGCCTACATGCAATAGGTTCGGAGCTCACACCGTGTCTCGATACAGCTGCGCTCGGAGAGCCCTGCTAATTCATAGTCATCCGGAGGGTGCGTGCACTTCGACGGTCGATATTCGTAGCACCGTCTGCAGGTATCCCTAAGATTGGTATCTAATTCCGCATACAAATCGGTATGCTACCTGCGCATGCGAAACTCGTTTGCGTCGACCTACTGCCTTGAGCTGGGGAGATACACAGAAACACAGAAAGGTGTCAGGACGCCCACGCTCGTGTGCGAGCGTCTGGAACTCGTAACACTCATGACAGATATCGTTACGAGGTCTGGCAGTGCCAGAGATAGTCGACGGAGCAACGAGGCAAAACGTTGTCGCAGCACAGCAAGACACGCCTTCGATTCGTTTACGTTACCTCTTGAGCGACAACTCCATGACCAAGCACACTCGTGTTACCCAACTTCAACAGATTGCCTAGCTTTAGGCTCGTTCTTCGACAGGGGGCGTTAGTGTCGACAATGATGGGCGTGCTCCATGTCTGCGCAATGTCGTACGCCGTTGCCTGAATGCAACGGCAGATCCCCCTAACATTGCCTCTAGCCTCGAATCTAGGGCTAACTTAAACGTCATATCTTTCCTAGATGGGCCCACATAGCAGACACGTACGACTATCCGTTTCTGGAGCTGTCAATTTATCGAGCTGAAGTAAAGCGATGCCACAATGCTTCATAGGCAAATTTTGTCCAGAAGCGATCAGTACGGAATTACAAGGCAAAGAGAATGGACCACATGTTCACTCAAGCCCTCCTAACCCTGTTCGGCGCTCACCGCATTCAATTGCTCCGAACGCACCCTTTTCGACCTCGAAACATACGACAAATCCTTGTCTGCTACCAAATGTTGCATGGGCTCTCATAGTCATTTCTCTTTTTGGTGCAACTTCAAAGTGAGTTCACAATGTCTTTGCTATGAGGCTAGTGGCTCATGCACATGAACGTAGGTTTTGATAGACTACAACATGAATACCAACTGACAAATCAATTAAGGTTCAGTTGATGTACGGCAACCCACAGCCGGCCCACAGTCAACCCTGAACAGCCCCACATGTTCACATACGAGCTCGGGCTGCAGAAAGCGTATCCTTACCGACGTGGCGATCAGATCAGTGCTCAACAGCCGCTATAGCCATTCGGAATTCCAGCATGTGTAACGAATCTACCCGCGACTTCCGCTTATGGCAGATTGTACCCATAGTAGCAACGGCTGGGTGCCTTTGCACGTTTGGGAGAGATCCTTGAACGACGCTCATTCCAAATGCAAAGTCAAGCACGCGGGAACATCTAAAGAGCTTCGTACCATATCGCAGACTGTCCATGCATGTCGCATCGATTGCAAACCAAGACCATGGGAAGTACTATCGGCCGGCAGTGCTCGTATGTCTGTACCACTGAGACACCAAAGTAACAGTGACCGATACAGGCATTACCCTCAAAAGAAATATGCT